TTTTTTTTGGTATAGGGGTTTGAACTCGGGACCTTTCATTTCCCCTGTGAACCTACATTTAACTTCCAAAAAAATCACCCACTGATATCTCAGACTCCCAAGACAATCCAGGGTTTCTTGTTTTCTAAGCATCCTGTAGAACAAGAGATCAGTTCTCTTGGACTTTCACTTCTACTTCTTGTCAGAAATGACGATGCTGCCAAGGCAGGTCTGTCCCAGGAGATTCTGTAAAAGCTTGTCAGCTTAGCCAGGACTGGGCGAACAGAGAACCCACAAGTGTGCTTTTAGCATAGGTATAGCGTCTTTTCTGATGAAGGGATTTATTTACTGGTGAAGGAGGGAATTCCGGCTCCATCTTTGCAGAACCTGGCAAGACTGCTGCCTTGGAGAGTCCCAGGATAAGAGCAGATGAATGGAGAGGCCAGGGCTGCATTCACTGGGAAGGGGCCTCTCACAGCTCGTGTGTTTGCAGAGTTAGCCAGTTTCGATGCCTTCGGGGAGCTCCACCATCACCGGGGCACAGTCCTCAGGCTCTGAGGCAAAGTCCCACGGAAACTTCTTGGTCACATGGGCTTGGAACTTTTCAGCTTTCTTCCTCAGGGTGGGATCCACAGCAATGCTGCAGGCTGAAGAAAAAAAAAACCTGTAAGGTGCTGGTAAGGAAGTTGTCCTGGGAGACAATGTCCATAAAGAAGTCAGCGGGGATCTCACCAAGCTGGTGATACAGGATGGAGATAAGGTTGATGTACAGAGTGTGGTGCTTCACCATGGCTGCTTCTGATCGGCACAGGAGGTTCAGGAGCTGCTTCCAGTGCTCAAATGCCTCATATACATTGCCCAGCGAGAAACACACAAAGGCAAACTGGAGTTCACCGATCACATCCTGGGGGCTGCTGGGGAACTGCTTGCTGAGCACAGTCTCCAGTGCATAGCTCAAGTCCATGCTGTGCCTGGTTATCTCTGCTGGTGTAGCACCTGCTGGGAACATCTGTGTGGGTAGCTCTGAGAAGCGGATCTCTGTCCCAGCTCTGGGCTTCATCTCAGGCAGCCGAGCTAGGCCCTCCTGATAACTTTTGCACTCAGTGCCACAGAGAGGTAGATTCTGCCCCACCCGGGCCTTGGTGTGCTTCATTTGTCATACAGGCAGCACATCTGAGAAGGCACAGATCTGCCGGCTTTCAGGCTGCAGCCTCTCCATTGTGGCCTCACTGACAAAATTGGTGAGTGAGATCCATTTCTTGAGTGTGGCATATGGGTAAGGTCCCAGAAACTGGTCCAGCTCCTGGAGATTGGCCCTCATAGCTTCCACTTCAGCTTCTGGGGCTGGGGACAAGTCTACCTCTTCCAGGAGAGCATTCCAGCACAGGACTGTCAGCCCTTGCTGCTGCAAGCTAAGAAAGAAGCCCATACGAGGACCCACATCCGTAGGATTGGCTTTGTCCACTGAACTGTTGTGAAGAAAGTGGACACCTGGTGGGATCATCTTCACACCCCGGAACTTGGGTCCTACCTCCCAGGAGTTATAGTCAATGCCAAACTCGGTCCCCCTGGGCACATTCAGGATGACCATAGTGGCCCCTTCAAAGAAGAGGTGCTTGGCTAGGTCAGGGTCCATCTGCATGGCAGCCATGTGGCCAATGGTAGGTGACCCAAAAGGAGAATCCTTCTTGTCTTCTGAAAAAGCTCCTCAACCTTCACTCGGGTACCACGGAAACCGGTAATGTTATTTTGATCAGCTGCCCAAGGGGTTGTCAGATTTGTCTACTATTATAGTTACTGGGTTTCTTTCCCTCCAAAGTAATAAGCAATTTTATAAGGGAGAAATCTCAAAAACAATCCAGGTATCTATCTTGTAATAAAAATTTTCTGCTAAAAATTCCCCCTGAATTTAGTATCCTTTGATTATTTTTTCTGATCCAATCTTTTTATTTTCAGTGCTGGGAATTAAACCCAGGGCCTTAAGCATCCTAGACAAATATTCTACCTCTGAGTTACACTCCCAGCTCCTGATCCAGTCTTTACTAAGATAGTTATAAAACTGAGATTCCTACTCTAGAATTCTCAGTACGTTAATCATTGACACTTGGCATTCTACATTAACAAGAATTTTCTCTATTTCCTTATTGATTGTCAGTATATACTTATGAATTTGTGTTTTTCATTGATTTATAATTCATCACTGCAATTAATTATTTTGGTGCTTAAATATTCCCAGACTTGGCCAATGGAAGGCTCCTTCAAGCTGGCTTCTGCATACTTATGTCATGTCCTCTTTGCTTTTCATTTTTATTTTCTGTTTCTTTATTTTTGAGACAGAGTCTTGCTATGCTGCCCAGGCTGGTCTTGAACTCATGTGCTTAAGCAATCCTCCAGCCTCACCCTCTCGACTAGCTAGGATACAAGCCACACACCACAGTGCCTGGTTCTCTCTCTCTCTCTCTCTCTCTCTCTCTCTCTCTCTCTCTCTCCCTTTGTTTCTGCTGCTGTTTTTAAATCACACCTCTCACTTCTCCTGGTACTGGGGCTTGAACCCAGGGCCTTTGACTGAGCTACATTCTCAGCCCCCTTTTTAATTTTGAAACAGGATCTTATTAGTCACTAAGTTGCCTGGGCGGGGCTCACATTTCCCAGAGTGCTGGAATGACAGGCATGTGCCACCAAGCCCAACTAAATTACTTCTTGATTTTATGGCACTGAAAGATGATCCAGGTTTATCTTGCCCCTACCTTGCTCCAGGCCTGGAACTGGCTATTACTCTGAGGTTCCTTGGTCCTTTCAGTGGGGAATAGACCAAGATCTGGGCATGGGACCCCTTTGTTATTACCTAGTTGTCATTGTTTTTCTGCCTTCAGCAGACAGAGATAGGGAATATATATACACATGTATCCATACACATAAGTGTGTTTGGACTATACAGTGAATGGTTACATTTTTTTAAAATTTTTTACAGTAAAAGACACATTGCCATTAACCCCCCCGAAAATGCTCCCCCTCACTTCACACACACTTATCCCATCATCCTTGCCACTTTCTGAAGCAGTTCTGAAAGACCTCTCACTTCTTTACAGGTGTGATCAAAACTACAGTGACCGCTGCTGCTGACCGCCATCTAAAGGAAAGACAGGTTCCTCAAAACGTTACCGTGTGTCCTCGCTCACCTTATTGACTAGATGTGCCACTGTGTGACTTCTGGCTGGCCCTTTCCCTAAATCAAAATGTTCCTGAAAGGTAAACATTTTGAATGAATTCAGGACATCAAGGCAGCCATGACAGAGCCACTAAATACGCTCACAAAGAAGACTTCCAGAACTGCTTCAGAAAGTGGCAGGAATGATAGGATGTGTGTGTTCAAATCAAGGGGTGAGTATTTGGAGGAGGAATAATAGCAATGTGTCTTCTAATATATTAAATCAAAATGTTCCTGAAAGGTAAACATTTTGAATGAATTCAGGACATCAAGGCAGCCATGACAGAGCCACTAAATACGCTCACAAAGAAGACTTCCAGAACTGCTTCAGAAAGTGGCAGGAATGATAGGATGTGTGTGTTCAAATCAAGGGGTGAGTATTTGGAGGAGGAATAATAGCAATGTGTCTTCTAATATATATATATGACAACATGTACATGCACATACATGTATATACTTCAGAAATCACACCGCATACCAATGCTCTCAATTTCAATTCATCCTCACAGGATTCACTCCTGCCTTTCCCCATTTCACATTTTTAGCTCCCTCCTTTCACAGTAAGAACCTTGGCTCCCAAGTACAGTACATTTACTCATTTGCTCGATCCTATGATACATCAGAGTGGTTTCAGAATGGTTTTGCCCATACTACTACCAAAGAAAGATCTACAAGAGTGAGTTCAGGATTTGTTTGCAGTTCTGCTTGCCACATAATCCCATATCACCTAGGACTGGGGGGTTGTAAATTACTTGGATTAAATCCTCTCTCTATTTCCCAGTCTCCCTGCTTTAAGTGAGGAAATAGAATTAACTCGAAACACAATGTGATTCATTTGTTTCAGTTTTAACCTTTCCTCTCTTGATTGATTGATTGATTGTACCGGGGATCTAACTCAGAACTTTGCGCTTGTGAGGCCAGAGGCGGCACCACTGAGCTACATCCCTGGCCTTGATTTAATTCATTTTTGATTGTATAGAACATTAATATGCTCACAGAATTTGAAACAGTAGAGGCTAAGAAGGTAGCTCAGTGGTAGAGCTCTTGCCTAGCGTGTATGACACCCTGGGCTCCATCTCCAGCCCCACACAAAAATAGTCTAAACTATAGTCAGAAATGTCACTCGTTCTCACTGCTTTTCCGTACCATTTCTCCTCCCTCTTCTGTTTTTTATGTCTTGTGTTTCTTTTTCTTTTCTTTCTTTTTGTTTTGTTTTTGGAGCTGGTGATAGAACCTGGGCCCTTGTGCTTGTAAGGCAGGCGCCGGAACCACTGAGCTAAATCCCCAGCCTTGTCTTGTATTTCTTATTGTAAAAATAAGCAGATGCATTACTGTTTGCTTATTTTTCTTTCTCTTTTTAACAAGTGAGAGGTCACTAAATACACTCTTTTTCACTTTGCTTCATTTTCATAACACAATTTAATAAGGATATGTTTTTTGGGGGGCTGGGGTACCAGGGATTGAACTCGGGTCCTTGTGCTTGCAAGGCAGGCCACCAAACCGCTGAGCTAAATTCCTGGCCCGGGATATGTTTAATTTCTATGAAGGTCCAGACTAGTGTGAGGTGACTGAGGCATCTTGAACACATAATTTAAGGAGACCCTAGTAAGTTCTGCTTGGAGGAGTTTGACCTGTGAGTAGGATTACACTTAGCAGAGAAAGGGGATAAAGTTATTTGGGACAAAAGAGACAGGGTGTGCAAAGTCAAGGAAGCATGAAAGAGCATTGTGAGAAACACAATGTAACTTGAAGTGGAGGATGTTTGCTAGTGAGGGAAATAAGGCTGATAAAGTAGGCCAAGGACCAGGTTATAAATTGCCATAGGTGCTAAGAGTTTAGATTTGATCCTGGGCAGTAAGAAGCCCTTGATAGTTTTTTATATAATTGATTACATTATTCACTTTGTATCAAGTCTCACCATCAAGTCCACTTCCACAATGGCTCCTCTTAAAGGCTTTCTTTTTTCTTTTTTTTTTTTTGTTTTGTTTTTTGAGACAGGGTCTCACTATGTAGTTGATACTGACCTGGAACTCACTATGTAGCCCAGGCTGGTCTCGAACTCACAGCGATCCTCCTGCCTCAGCCTCCCAAGTGCTGGGATTACAGGCGTGCACCACCATGCCTGGCTCAGGATGTCTTTCTAGTAATTGACTGGGGGCGGGGGGTGAGTAGTACTCGGTAAGTAGGGAATATGACAGCAGTAAATTGAAAGGGAAAGATAAGAAGTTCAGTTTTGAACATATTGAGTCAGAGTTAAAAAAAATCCAACTAAAATTTTTCATTTAAAAGTTATAAGACAATGTCTTAATGAAATTTGGACAGTACCCCTCTTCTGATTTCCTTTTGCCTTCACAATCAAGATGGAAACAGTAATTTGGGGTGGAATACTTGTTTCATGTCGAATACAGAGGCACACACTTGTAATCCCAGGTACTGGGGAACTGAGGCAAGAGGGCTGCAAGGCCTCCTTGCAAGGTTGGGTAACTTATTGAGACCCTGTCTCCAAATTTTTGAAAAGGGAAGGGAGGCTGAGGATGTATCTCAGTGTGAAGGTCCTGGGTTCAATCCCCAGTAAACGCCCCCCCCCCCGCACACCCCGCCAAAAAAGAAAAGCAAAGTAATTTGTTTCGCTAGTAGGTCTGGGAGGCCCCGGGAGGCGATTTCAATGTCCTCATGAGCCTGTCAGCTGTGGTTAATAGGGAGCATCCACTATATTCTTCCCGGCTCACCTGGGGCAAACGCCCTCATGTCCTTTGCTCAACAAAATACCCGACAGTCTTGCTCTCGCCACCGTTTCCACCGTCCACGGTCCAAGTACAATTTTTTAAGAGTTAAAAATGTGACTCATACAAAATATAGTGAACACCCATGCAAATTTTGCTGAAGTTGTTAAAGAAGGAAACACCAGGCTAAGCGACTTCAGAGGAGAATTTCAGAGACCGTGCATTTGTTATCGCGCTGTACCCCATAAATGTGGAGAATTCCAATAACAATTTGCTTCCGAGGAGCCAAGTTGGTGGAAGTGGCCCCTCCGCGACCTCCCCTGCCCGGCCCGACCAGCTGCAGGACGCCTCCTAGGAGCAGGTACCCGGCCGCCCCGCGCCACAGGG